CCTACAAAGAAAACTTGGATAGAATATAATTAACTGGGGACCCTTATAAAATCTTTTTCGGATTTGAATCAGCATTCTTAGGGGAGCTGTTTCCTTTAAATTTTTTTTTTCTGATTTCACAGAGAAGTTGTACTTTTCTGGCTTTGCTTTCTGTTTGACTTTTTTACTTTAAGACACAGAAAAGGGAACTGTCAGGGGCCTAAGCCAGAGGTGCTGTACTCTCTCAGCTTCTTTTTCCTGTGGAGAGAATTAGATGCGGTCTTTATTTTTCAGGATTTTACATAACAGATAAACAAGTGTACATATTTTTCACAGAAATAACAGCCACACAGATAATTCCTGATCCATGCATTGCTACACAGACTGAGTCTTGAAAGGCAGGCTTTAAAGGACCACTGTTTCTTCCTGCAAATATTCTGCCTTCTGCACTCTAACTTCTTAATGCCATGCGCTATGCTTAGTCTAACTTACCACAGTGTTTTCATTGTCTTTCAGACTAATCAAGGCAACGCATCAGTTCATCTCACTTAACTGAGATGTCAAACTTAGGAGCTCTGTGGCCTAAGGCTCTTTCTGGGGGAGTGGTTTTCAAAATCTAAATCATCCCCAGGTGCATGTGTCTTTCCTGTGGCAAAGAGAGGATGCCAGGATGTCTGGAATCATAGTTTAGGTGCCTTGGTCAGGTTGGATGAATTTGGGCTGTTACATATAGCTTTTAGGCAGAAAATGCATGTACTTCCAAAAAGTGTCAAACCAGCTAATTCTCAAATGTCTTGGAGAAGCATAGCAGAGCGTGAAATAATTCTCAATTTACAAGTTCATAACTTTTTCCTTCCCCCAACAGAGGCTGCTACTGACCTCCCTAAGACACCTGACGGTGAATCTTTGTTTACGAAACTACGCAATCCAAGCACAGGCAAGTTTTGGAATTGTGACATGAGCCTGTTAATGTTCTGGCTGATTCCCTCCATCACCAAATTATTCATATTTTGCAAGCTGAAGTAATGATGATAGTGTAAGTCCTGTGTGCCAAAGATATTGCTGGCGATGCCAGATAGTTAATGCTATGCAAACATTTAGGATTTCTTTTATAATTTTAATTGGTTGAATTGTTTATTCATCAGTACTATTGGCAGCACAAAAAAGAGGTATAATTTAAGTTCTACTTTTAAGTGCGTTAGTTTTGGGGAACTTTAAGTGTAGGGAGTTGAGCCTGGGTTTTTTTTTAATCCAAATTTAGGCTTCATAGCTATTCCGTTTATGCTATAAAATAAATAATCGGAGTTAGAAGAAGTGATTCAATTATACTTACCAAGCATTTGAGCCTTTTTTATTTTTAAATCTAATTTTGTTCTTTCCTTGGTCCAAATGGTGGTATCCCTTTTCATGTTAGTAGATGATGAGGCACTTTGAATTAAAAACACGTTGGAAAGACCAAGTAATGCTGGTAGTTTAATGATCCTCCCTCCATCCCACGAACAGTCACTTTCCTTAGTCAGATTACCCTTTTTTGTCAAGGATTTGTTACTACTACACGAGCAATGTAATAACTGCAATATGAAATACGGCAGCAGAAACTTGCAATAAATCTAGGTTAGGGTTAACTAACGTATTTTGTTTGAAAAACCTGATTCGTACTGTTATTTTCTCTTTTCATAAGCTCATTTGTTTTGTATAGAATTAAGCTATATGTTTTTGTTTTGAAATTCACTGTCCGTGTTCACTTATGTTTGTAACAGAAATCTTCAGGTACATTTTAATATTCCAGTATACTGATTGCTACTTGTTCTTGAAAGAGGAGACTAATTTAAAACAATAGATACAGAATGTGAAATCATTTATTCTCATCAAGGTTTCTGTTTTTTTGATTCTTCAGAATTTACAGGGAAAATATATAGCCACCTGCTTTATTATACTGGTTTTGTAGTTTATTATGTCTGAAAAAGCATAGATATTAATTTGTGTTTTGCTGTGGAAGAAGAGATCTATTCAGCTTGTAGAATCAGAGATCTTGGGAAAGCTTTCTGGGGAAAACCTAAAGTACAGTGATTTGACCGAAAGCCTGGGTGTGTTCCTTTAGAATTTACAGAAGCTTATTTATAGACCTGCATAAACCTTCAGTTATGTAGCCAATTATAAGTATAGGGTTTGGAAATGGAAGAACTGAGAACACCCTGTTAATGTCTTTTCCTTACATTTGGGTTTAATAGATGAGTTGTTGATGTCAGGTATTGTATAAATACCCAGTGAAGGAGTCGGCACACTATAGAGTTCTTGCTAACCACTTTATTAAATAAAAGTACTCATGGTCCTTTTTATAGACAGGTAAAAAGGACAAAGTCTCTATCCCTTACGGAGAGTGTAAACCAGGGTTTCAGCCTGCAATTCCGAAGTAACACAAGAAACATTTGTCAAAGTGCTGAACTAAAACACGGGGAAGACCTGTGTTACTTGATTTAAGCAACTAATTGAAGTCTTGAAGTTGGGAGCAAAGTAGGCTCTCTCTCCAGCCTCTGCAGTTTCTGTCTAGCGACACTGTTGGGAACCTGTACTGTCCTTTTAACATAAGCAAATAAATTAAGGAGCTAAAGTTAGACAGTAGGAATGCTCCCTTTCCAAACATTCCCCAGCTCTGCAATGCTTTTGGCTAGTGTGCTCACTGGTAGGAGTCTTAAATTGTTCAATGAGCACTTCTGTGAATAGTTTGATGCCTGGGGCTGATCAGACTATGGTGTAGACCCTTCACTGAGAAGCGCATGGTAATGCTTGAAACCCCTGCTTCCCCTTCCGTCTACTCTTTGCTCCTCCTCTCCTTCCCTCCCCAAAAGAAAAACGATGATCAGAGAATTGAAACTATATCCTTAGGTGAGGCTAAACATCTGGTCAGCCTTTTGGATAAAGGGAAAAAAAGCATCATCAGTCATTTCTGTGCAGAGATGTATCTGCCCAGTTTAGCTGGCCTCCCTGTGCCTCTGGGGATCTCTAGAGACTGAGAATAGCAGTGCTGACATCAGCTTGCAGGGGCCCGCACTGGGACTTTTTTGAGCCAGCCCATGATCTGCAAGTCAGTGCAGCTTTGCATTTTATGTATTGTGAGCAGGACTGCCATGTTGCAGTTGTTCTTGTCTTACCCCGTTTTCTTTGTTTTTCTCAAAGATGGATTGATAGCCCAAGGAAGACTATCAAGCCAACAGACTCAGCACACCAAATTTTAGTGGCCCCTTCTGTAGTTTTAGTGACTTCCTGTTTTAAATGTGGTAAAAGCCAATCCTGTTTGCAACTTCCCCATCATCCCTAGAACTAACGTGAAATGGCAGAGCTGTGCTATGTGGTGGTGTGAAACAAAGCTTTTCTTTTCTTTCCAAAATCTCAAGATACTTATGGACACTTTGAAGCAACTTCCTTCAACTTTCTTGTTCACCTTATTTGTCTCCCCAAACTGAGTCATCTGCAGTCTGTTTTAATGAACCTGCAAAAATTATTTCAAATTGTCACTTGAAGGTTTGAGAATTTTGTTCCCCTACTCCTGAGTCCGATATCTCGGAGACTGGCATGAAGAAGGGAGAAGAAGTTTTCTGGTTATCCACCTTCCTCCTTCAGTACAGACAAAAGCTAATTTCTTGTGTGATTTGGATTTGGATCAAAGGCTTTATGTTGTAAGATGAACTATTCACACATCTTATTTATTGATTCAAATTCAGTTTGGTTTATAGAGCTGGTAAACGAACATCTGTATATAATAGTTTTCTTTGTCAGAGCTTTCTTTGTAGTGAGTTTATGTGGAATGTGTGTGTGTCTGTGTGTGTCTGTGTGTGTAAGGCACATTCTTCAGATGTATTGGATATTCTTTTGATTTTTGTGAAAGCTTACAAATGCAAACCAGATTTCTTTTCAACAGGGGAAGCAACCCTTTACTTATTCAATAGTGGTGCACAGCAGCTGTTTGAAGTAAAAGTTTTTCAGGAGGAATATCATTCCTGGTTTATAGGTCAGACTGTTCAACAAGGTGAGTAATATAACGTATCCTTCCCCCAACTGTAACTAGTGTTCGTACTCAGACCTTCTCTCTCTCTTATAATAAATTTACAGGTGTTTCTCCTAGTTGTTGAGGCATGCTGCATCACGTCCCCACCTTCTGACACGCTTGTTTACCATCTGGACTTAACCAGGGCTCGGGGCTTTGTGGTCTCCTTTTAAAAGGCTGCCTTTGGCAGCCTCAATTAGACAGATGTTCATTTGTCTTTTGAAGGAGAGTCATTCAATTGTATTTAAACTGAAATGCCATAAAGTACTTAGCTTGCCTTGTCAATCAAACCAGCAAATCCTCCGTATGAGTAAAATATATTTTATTCTAGGGGAGAGCGAAGGGGCTGGATGGCCTGAGCTACCTAAGCAGAGCAGTGTGTTAGAGCTCCAAGCATTGCGATGCATGGTACTACTTTTACTTACTGCTCTAACTCTAATCTCCTGTGTGAGTGCTGGGATCTCAAGATAGGGCTACTGTCTGAAAGCGCCATTTCAGAGTTTTGTTACCTGAAGTGAGCTCATCTATCGAGTCCCAGCCATTTCCTGATCCTAGCTTGACTTTCTGAGTATGAGACAAGATACTTATGTAGCTGCTTGTAACAACTGTAACAATCCAAACAACTGTAACAGTCTGTTATCAATAAGGATGTCACTGGAGTAGCGTTTCTCCCTGAGACTGTCCATGGACCAAGTAATAGGTATTATTAATTCAGGAGATAACACTACACTTATTTTGTCCTTTCTTTAACTAGAAAAAGACCATTTATAATAATAAATAAATAAAAGCAACCCCACCAGAGGTACGCTTCCTTTAATGGTAATATCCCAAAGCGTGCGTTAACTTTTAAACATCCTTTGCAGGTGCGTATAGCAATGCAAGTGGTATGTCTGTGAGCTTTGCCTTGCTCCATCTGGAGGCGAGCCAAGAAACTGGGTCCGCTCCCTGCTCCCAATTATGTCCACGTTGTATTCCCCACCTCCCTTTCTAACCTCTATTTTGGTCTTGGGAAATAGTCGCCTTAAGGAGTCCTCACCTAAGTTTTCTTTAAGAGATACAGGGGAAAAATTGTTCCTGAATGTTAGGGCTGCTGCATCTCTGAAATGCTCAGGGGAAAAATAAAACACAAAAGCTATGTGTTTGCAGTTAAAGCAAATTATCTAGTTACCTGCAAGGAAGAGCAGAGGGCTTTATAAACCTGCAGTGTGTCTGTGCACTGAAGGTACAGTGGAAAGCACGTACATGGGAGCTTTGGGAAAGTGGCAGGGTTTTTTTTTTGATTCCTTCCAGTTTTGTTATCAAATCTCTCAGGTTTGTGAGTAAGAAGTCCAGGTGCTTTCTTTGCTAACGGCTGTGTAGCTGAGATAGAGAACTCTCTTTGCCTGGTCCTTGTCCAGGGAATGTATCCTCTTGCGGCTAGCGACTTTGCATGTGGCAGTACCAGTTCACCAACTCACTTAGCTGGAGAAAAATTCCCCACCTTGAATGCCCTCAACTCCTCTTGGTTCTGCTTGCATGTGCTGATCTGTATCAGTTTGTCATAAATGCGAAGTGCCTTATATTTTTCTGTTTCACCCAGCTCGTATTGAGTACTAGACCCACTTTTGGAGGCTTAAGTTTTTACTACAGAATTGCAAAATGGGGATGGCAGAGCGCAGTCTAAGAGTCCACTCCACTCCAGCCTTCTTTACTAGGTGTCATTTAGGATCTTTGAGGCTTATCCTGACATAGAAGGACTCCTTGATGTTCTCTCTGGAGAGAAGAAATGAAATTAGCTCGGAATAAATGTGAACTGGATCTCCAAGCTAATCTGGCTGTACAGATTTATTGCAGAGACCTCATGCAGTGCATCATGTTAGTAAAATGGGTGTTAGATTGGGTATCAGCTTTGCCCAAACCACCTTCTTCCCACCGCATTTTTGTGTTTCAGGGTCATCACAGTAGGATTCCTTTTCTTTAAGTATCTTAATCATGTGGACTAAAAATACTCTGTCTCTATTTGCTTTTGGTTTGCTAATTAATGTCAAATTGTCGTCAATTATTGGGTCTCATTAGTGCGCTTTCTTCATGTTGCAGTTTCCAATTATCTGCATTCATATGAAAAGCCTGACTAAGCCACTGTCCTGCAGTGAGCTCCATGTGGGCAGAGGTGTTTGTTTTAATGGAAGACCGAGGCCTGCCTTTGTCTGCAGTTTTGAACACACTGAGCTGTATTTTCTGGTCCATTAAAGTTTATTTTGTTCTATAAGAAACTGCATGGACATTCTCCCCTTGCAGATGGTAACTCTTGCGCCTTTGTAAAGCAGGCAGAGGCAGCTCTAACTGATCAAGCTCTTGAAATTATTTTTTGCATTGAGTGTGTCTTCTGCCAGCGCAGCATTGCTTGCCCAGTATTTGGGATGAAGTATACCAGGCAGAGTTGATGTACCAGAACAAGGGTATGTTATGCCCAATTTTGCCAATAGAGGGCAACTTTAATTTTGCTGTTTTTAATACAGTCCAGAAAAAGACAAAACTGAGTAGGAGTATTTGAAGCTAGCAAACGTGCAACAGAGCTTGTAATTTGGTTTGGCATGGCTGACAATTGAGCTCTCTCTGCATTTTTAATATAAAGTCACAATTACTATTTTCCTTCCCATTTTATTGAAATGTTTTGTGTAAAAACCCCTTCCTCCTACCCAACCCCTGAGAAACATCCTTACAAAAAAAAAAAGTTGAGCAACATACTTGTGCTTCTTGGTACTAAGCTTTCTTTTACGTGTCTGTCACTTAGATGGACGGCTACTGTTTGTGACACCGATGGATCCCTTATTTCTGATACTTTATTACCTCATAAAGGCAGACAAAGAGGTAAGTCTTTTTATTTTCATCGAGTTTTGTTGATCAGTAAAGTATGTTTCAGGAGGCACCTTGCAATCTGAACAGATACCCTTGTGTTTGTAAGAGAAGCAAAGAATCTCTTTTGTCCTTTTGTGAGAGCCTATCCCTGAGCTATTGAATTTAAAGTGATCAGATGTCATCAGAATAAAAAAAACTGATGCTCATCCCAAGGCATCAGTAGATGAGTCATTTTGGGGAAGAGAGAAAGATAGATAGATGATTTGGTTGCTATGCAGAAGGAAGAAGAAACATTTCTGTGGCAGGTTGATCGTAAAAGTAAAAGTTGCCTTTTTAGAAACAGTGTTTGTAGAGATGGTTTATCATAGAATGGCAAAGCAACAATCAAGTACAAAAGATGAGTAATTAATAAATTGGTTTATCACAAATATAAATTTAAGTAGTATCTCAAAAGGCATAAGCAATGCTTTTGATTTATTGTTTGTAATCTCCTGCCTGTGAACTAAAGGGCGTAAAAGAAAACGTAAATGTCAATCCTTGTTATTTTTTTGATGGAAGCAGTAATTTCACTTTATGCATCCTAAGAGCATTTCTTGTAAGGTTGCTTGCTGTTTTCTGCTTTAGGTTGCAAGTGGAGAATGCAGGAAAACAATTTTTGTATGCTGAAGAAATAAAGTATTGTTAGAGATTTGTAATTAGTAATCTATTACTCTATAATTATTTTTTAATTTTTTATGATACATGCTGTACAAATGTTTTCTGTATTTCGGTAGTCTAGTCCTGCCTCAGGGTGGTCCATGAGAAGACATTTCACAGCAATAGTTTAGCTGATTCTCTGCACACTGTGTTCTGCTTGAATTTAGCACCTCTTTGAAAGCTTTATACCAAAGTTAAATTATGGAAACAGTAAATCTCCTGTCTACGTGATAGAGTGCTGAGGTAGCCTGAATAAAAGAACACTGTTGCTCTTTCCATGTGTGGGAAGAGTCCTGTACTGCCCTTTACTTCCTAAGTACCTGGTTCTGGGAGGGTTTTCTAGGCCAGGCATGGTGCCAGGTAAGTGCAAAGAGCTGGTCTGGGATCCACATCAGGACAAATACATTCCTGTAATGCTATGCTCAAATTAGTATATTCTCCAGTAAAAGGAAGTTTTGAGGACTGTGGTCCGGATACCTCATGTGAGACCAGCTTGAATGGAGCGCTGTCACTTCTGGCTTGAACTGATAGGGACGTTAAGGTTCCCACTGGGTAGTTTTGAATCATCCTTTGCACCATTATTTGGTTCTGCTAGTGTAACACAGGGTTGCCTAAGTGTCCCTGAGCAGAGCCAGCTTCTCTCCAGCAGGCCTTCTTAGCTTAGGTTCTGTGCCACTGCACAACATGAATGTTGGCTGTAGTGCTTCTGGACACAAGCTGGCTTGTACAGGTAAGTTTTCTGTGGGTAACAAAGGAGTTGATTGCAGCTTTTTTGCTGCCTCCTACAACCTTCCTTTGCCATTGTAATTTTGTCTTTTCCTCTTCCATAGGAAAAAATTAAAATCCATTTTGTTTTGTTTTGGTTTTTTTACCAGATTTGACTATGGATGGTTATTTTTATTAGGCCTCTGACTATCTAGTAGGAGGATTAACTAATAATGAAAGCTGTTCAGCTGGTTCAGCACCCAGGTGCTTTTTTTCATGCTGACCAGTGTAATGACTTCACCTTTGGCTCCCTGAGAGCATGCCCTCTGTCATAATGGAGAACTCACTGAATCTTTGTACTGATGCACTAACGGATCTTTCCAAGGGGAAGGCTGCCAGTCATGCCAAACTGTGCTGAATGATTATGCATTATTTGGCAACGGCAGGATTTGTTTGATAGTTCTGTCATGTGTGGGGCTATTTAAGTTTTGCCAAAATCACTTTATATACATACTCTAGCCAAACTGGAATTGACTTTGCAGAGGTGAAAGGTTAATACTATGTTCCAGAAGCTGCACTGCTCCTTCGAGATTTATCTTTATGGAAGAATAAGCAAAATTTGAATGGAAGTTATGACGCTGGGTTTAATCCAACAGATTTTGGTCTAAAACACTATTGGCACACACTAACTGCTGTGTCTTCTGTCATCTTCCAAAAAATCTCCCTGTGCTTCACATTAGTTTCTCCCCATATTGTTTTAAATTTGGACTTTTAAGTGCATTAATCAAAGAGTTCAGCATTTTGCAGGTATTCACTAGTTTGAAATAAATATTCATAGTTGCTTTGTAATCAGTTTCTGAATGTGTCACGTGGTACCACTTGAAATATGACCTTCTCTAAATACTTTATTTTAAAACTATGACTAGTGCATGCATATATATGCACGCACACACGTATATTTTTTTTTATATATATGGTTTAACAATGACTTACTATTAGTCTGTTGTTATTTATGATAATGCTTTCAGAATTCTTTTGATGTTTTTTCAGAAAGGAAAGTTCCAGCCATTGAATCAAGTTGTGCTAGACTCTGAGTACCCTTGCTGCTCATTGTTGTTGAAGTGTACAGATGTTAAACAGTCCATACATCATATAACAGAAGAAAAAGGTAAAAAAAAAAAAAAAATTGAATTTATTAGTTCCACTGACAAACTCAAATATAAGCAATAGTTTACATTGTACAAGGTGTAGTTCTTTTGACTGACCACCTTGCTAGGGGAGAAGCCACTTTGCAAGATAGAGTTAAGACTGGTTCCTTGTGTCTTTAAAGTTATACTGCTGTGTACTATACAGATGTGGTGTTAGAACTAAAATAGATTTGTGTGTTGTTAGTACTAAAATAGATTTGTATTGTCTGCTTTCATTTTGGTTGGGCTATATTTGCAGAATGAATGGTGAGCTCGATTTCGTTCTTTGTATGCTTGTATTTAGATACCAAGTTAAGTTTGTTGAGCTGGTCTTTAGAAGAGCCAGTTATTCATTCACTAAAATGGATACATTTGAGGTAGCAAAACAATAATGGCCTTAGTTTCTCTCATCTCACTTGATCTAAGTCTACGTTAGCCATCTAGACATTTTCTATATATGTAGTGGTAGAGAAGAAGTACTTCTGGAAAATGGTTCATTCATCTGTCTTAATCAGCTTTCTCAGACTGGAAAGAAACACTGTTTGAATGGTATCTTTCCCTCAGTTGACTACAGATAGAATCTAGTTAGATACCTACCATTAGGTGACGTGCATCCCAGCACTGTCGTCATTTGCATGGTGCCGTTTCTCAGGATGGAGCAGTACCGTAAAAGCAGAAGCTTACGGTTAGAAGTCTTCATTGCAGTATTGTAAATGGTAATATGTGGATGTCAGATTATCTGCTGTAGGTCTAAAATAGTTGTTGCTTGGTGGCATAAAAATGATAAATTGTTCAGAGCTGGCTTCTTGGATCTTATTGTACATGCTGTGAACTTTCTTTGCCTTTTGCTGAAAGTTGCACAACTCTGAGTTCTTTCGTTAGAGTAGGATGATCTAGTATGGAAGAAGTGAACCACTGTCCACGTGGCCTTTTTTCTCCCTTTGTAGTAGAGCATTCAACCCATAAGTAGGCAAAAGCTGGAGAAGGGCGAATACGCTGCTGAGAAAGCCAAGCAGTTTTCTAGGTTGGCATAATTTGGTGTGTGTTCAAAGACATGCAGTTTTTTTAAATAAGAACCTTGCGTGGAATATGTTAAGTGTGTATAAGGGAAAACCTAAATGGAAAAAAGTAGTCAAGTATCAATTATATCTATTTTGCCCTCAACCTTTGTCCAGAATTCCCTTTGTTGTAGGGGGCTTTTATTTTATCTGAGGACAATGTATGACCTTTAGGGAAGAGAAAGGAATATTACATAATTTTCGCAGCTTGGCAGACCTGCAAAAGATGGAAGGCTTCAGTTTTTATATTCAGTCCTTTAAAGAGCATTATCTTTCTGTTTATACTGACTTCCTGATAGCGGATGGAGATCTAACTGCACAGGAAGGGGTACAGGAGTCTGAGAACATGGAATCTCGGTTGGGTTTCCCTTTTCTTCCCTACCGCCAAGTGAAAAACAGCTGAACTGTCAGACCCCTATGTATGTAGAGCTGCTCTAAGGCGTTGAGGTATACAAATAAGAGGCCAGAGATGTTAGGAATTTGCTTTCACAAAGCACTCAGCCCTTGTCACTGGTATCTACAGAAGAAACGCTTAGGTGTTCTCCTACAGATAACTGGGAAGTGGCCGAGACAGGATGTTGGAGAAATAAACACCCTGATAAGAAGTAAAATACCATACCTCTTTATTGCTGCATGGAACATCAACATGGAGAGGTGTAAATTTTTCCTGAAAGATTTAGATGCATGAGTTTAAATTTTTCCTGTATGAAATGGTGCATAGGTAGTAAAGTGAAGCAATTGCTTCCCCCCCAAAAATTGATTTAAACTTAGAATAGGACATGTTCCCATTGAAAATAATCATCTTATCTTAACAGAGGAGTAGGAAATTTGTGCAACAAAACAATTTTTACATTTTGCTGGGACTGGGATAGTTGGAATTGTGTGCTTCTGTGATATTCCTGGATTTCCAAAGGAACCTTCAGAAAGCATTAAGTTACATTCAGTATCACTGGGAACAAGCAACCTTTTTCCTAGGGTGAGTTCCGACTTTTGAAAAGGCTTGTCTGAGACAGATGCATCTCAGTTGCAGTTACTTTCTGCTTTTGCCTTCCCATGAAATGCTTAATTCTTCCAATAAAAACTAATAGTAAAGTTGCAGGCAGTTGCTGTCCCCTACAACTTGTCTGATACTGCCTAAGGAGTTAGGGGTGAGGGTGGGGTTACTAGTGTTTAATTCACCAATCTGAGAAGGTGAAAAATCTTGCTGTCGAGTTGAAAGGCTCAAATAGAATACAGAGCAAGGTCAGGATTATTTTTTTTTTGGAGGGGCACTTCCTCTGAACAACTGTGCTGTCTTTGGGCAATATTTATGTAGCAAAGGAAAATTAAAAAAAAAAAAATCGATCTTTGCCATAAAAAAGGTCTTACATCCTGCTCAAACCTCTGTATCTATTCTGGAAATCAGATTTGCAGTTGTTATCCACCAGAGCATCCTCTGAAAGTGTACTTCCTTAGACAATTGAAAATGCCTTGTTTTGATTTTTGCTTTATTGTTTTTAATAACATATTATGTATGCCTGTAAACTTGAGTTGTCTTTTCAACAGCTGATATTAACCATTCAATAAGTTATTTTCACTTCCTGTTCTTTGTTTTGAAAGGTAATGTAAAAATTACTGTTGACATTAATACTGTACGCACATGCAAACACTGGCTGTACATGATGTTCTTGGATGCCCCTGGACGTGTACCTGCTGCTTCTTGTCTTACTTGGGTTTGGTTTGGGTTGAAAGTACTAGCAATGTGGCTTATTCTTTAGAAATGTTTTCATTTTTTAGAATATTGTTATGCAACAAACTTGGGGCTTGCCTGTCATGCATAGATCACCCTTCTGTTCGATCCACTTCTCTCTCTTTGATATTTTTATATCTTGTTGTTACCTGTAAAACAATATCAATATTATGCCTAATGTACTCTTTTTAAGAATACTTGTACTTTTCTAGCTGTATGACCAGTTGTCTGCTTGTAGCCTTTCCTGTTTAAGGTGTACAATCTTAGGGCAAAAAGTATCTATTGTGCTGAGTCTTCTGTAGCTCTGACCTGTTTGGCAGAACCTACTAACATGATTATCTAACCCTTAATTTAATCTTAAGGCATTTAACATCTGTATAACAAATTCTTACCCTAGAGCGCTCACAGTTTGCATTTACTGAATTAGTAGAAAGTCCACCTTCTCTGGCCTCCGTGGTGAAGAACAATGAACGTTCATTTTACTGGATTAAATTCCCATTTACCTGGTTTAGTAGTTGGGGAAAGGGTGTGTTCCAGCTGGCTAAACGTGCGTGAGGCAGGTTGTTTGCTTATAAAATCAAACACAGGGTGGAGGGTAGAACAGAGAAAGTTTAAGAAAAGGGTTATGAACTCCAGTTCCAGAGCATTACTCTTTGTTTCATTTTGCAAGGCAAAAACTGCGCTATGATCTTGTCTGATGTGATTAACATGAAGAGCCAAGAAAACTTACCTGATTAGAATAACTAAGTAATATTGCCAAGCTTGTATTCCCAGAAGGTAGGAAAAAAGGGGCCATATGAGTTTCTGAGTTATGGAAAACACTGAGAAAGTGGATGTTAAAATGTGCTTTAGGCAGTTTGCTCAACAATACATCAGGGAAACTTCCAAGTCGACATAGCGATTACCCGATCGCTGAACATATTATTTAATTGTAGAACCACTTATATTCCATCTGTATTTCTCAAACCCAATCTTTCCAGATGTCTCAGACCAGTTTTATAGGCACCAGACACATTAGGGAACAAAAGGCTTTCCAATATATACTCATATTATCAAACATAGTCGCTTACTCTCTCACCAATATCAAATGTGCATCACATGTTAAATCCACGTTCCAATATTGAATCCTTTTGTCAGCAGTTTGTGACTTTCATAACTCACTTTAATTCTTCAGAGGTCTGAAATATTGTCAGTTTCTAGAGTTTAATAGTCAAAACTGTCAAGCACACAAAATATTTTCAAACAAAGTGATCTCTGAAGGGTTTGGCATAATTATTTTTCACATGTTTTAATGAAAATGGCTTCACAGTTCTGCATTTCCTTTCCCTAACTGAGTCACTCTGAATCATGCTGTTGTGGGGGAGTCTGCCTGGGAATCTGGACCAGAATTACTTTTCAGCATGGGTTGGGGGATGGTGGCAGGAGGATGTCCCTTCCTCGAACTTTCTCAGATAAGAGAGGAATCCACGAATCGTACTCACTGTACTTGGACCTAAACCACGTTAGCTCTTTGAGAAGCAGGTTCATGTATCCAGAGCCTCTCCCCCGTTTTCTGCTCCTTTTCTTTCAGAACCATTTAGAAACAAAAGTTTAAGTCCTGAAGGTTGCAGCCAACTGCATCACAGCTAATTACTTTACCTGCAACTCGTCAGCTTCATGAAGCAAAGTTTATTAGGGTTTTTCCTTTTTTGCTCTAAAGAATTTTTGCTTTTCACTCTTCTACAACCATTGAGATAGATTTAAACTTTATCTTGTATACAGCTTTCCCCAACCTTTTCATACCCCCGCCATGCATACACAAAAAACACGTAATAGTTAGATATTTGTATGCAATTTGAAAGAGCCAGAATAAACCCCAAAGAAGGAAATGCTGAAGGAATCATAAATAATGTGTTGTTGATTGTTTGCAAAGGGGAAGAAAGAAAGTCCGTGAACTTGGTGCTGGAATATGAAATTGGATCGGTAAATGACATGAAACAGATGTAGGTATTTATGGGAATGGTATACAGGAGATTAAAACTTAACTGAAATACCTGTTGAAGAACAAGATTGGCTTCAACAGTGGGCTAGAAAATCTCCTATGTAATCTTACTAGGCATTTCATTCCTTTTCTAAAATTCAGCAGTCTGTGAATTGAAACTCAGTAATTTTTATTGTTAAAACTTCTATGAGCATTTGTAGTTTTTTTTTCTCCTTTGCCTCAGCATCCTGAGCTCACATACCTCCAGATAACTGATCACATGTGAATAGTGAATGTTTGTGGTACCCTAGTTATCACAGGGGAAACACTTTCTGAACTTCTTATATCATCAAGTTAATTTACATTGCTCAATAAATCATAAATTAATCATGTACTTCCTCCCACAAGGAGTGTGTTTCGCTATTTTGAATTCTGGATTTTCTTTTGACGTTATATTAAACAATGTAAAAGAAGGATGGAAGTAAATGCTTTGCTGTAGTCACCCTGTGAAGTGAGGGGGGAGTTGATAGGAAAAGAGATTATTGAAAGGACAGCTGGTTTATCTTCACTAACCATCTTTCTCTCGGCCCCGTTACTAGGTGTTGGAATGCATAAAGTAAAGATTTAAGGTTTTTAAAAAAAAAAAAAAAAAAAAGAGGAGTCATGCACCTAACATTTTATGTTACAAACTGGGCAGTTAAAATGACCATTCTGATGATACAGGGCAGTAAAGGCTTGACAGACCACAAAAGCTTGAGAAGAGTCTTAATCTATGAAGCCTAGGATTACACAAATATAAATAAAATATGTGCTTTGATGGATTAGGGCCTAATCAGAGAACTGTCACGTTGTTCAAACTTGCGCATATCAGCTCAGTCTGTTTATTTTTCCGTATTTGCAATATTTTTGAAACTGATATCAACCATGTGCAAGCCACAAATTAACTTTTATGCTATATCTGCATCTTATAATGTTTTTAATGTATGGAAAATGCAATCTAAACCACTCATAACTGTCTTCTCCTCATTTGATTTATCTCAGAGATTGGCAGTCAGAAATTTCACAAATACAGTCAAGAGAAGACATTGAAGTGGTTAAAGAAAAAGGTATTGTGATTTTCTTTTGCTTTTAAATTTGCTTTCTATTCACAATGAAAATGCTTGCTAACTTGTCCATATCTCTGTTTGAGTCACATAGCATGGCTCAATTCAAAAGCCGTGTCCCGTCCAAGGATGGACACTGCATTAAAGCTGTTGAATTAAGGCATGTGATGAAGTATTAGGGAAACACCAAGTCTGTTACAGTTCTCTTTTTGGTGGTGCTGACACGCAAGGGGATCATGAAAGAGGGGTAAGGGCAGAGAAAGGGGCTGGAGTGAGCTGTGACTGTATTCCGTACCTTTTGCTCAATGTGAGGGGCTTCATCCACTTCATAGGTGGGCTAGACTTCGGAAGACTCCAACTGTTTCCCCTCACAACTTTTAAATCCTACCACCCAGTAAAGCTGGATAGATATACCTTGGTTTTGTACTATAAGTGTATTCTCTTTTGAAGTTTGGGCAGTATCTCCCAGAATGGTGCTGGTATGATTGCTGCTGTCCTGATCTCATCACACTGTATGAAAAGCCAGTACAATACGCTGAAAAGAAACTGGTACTATAGCTAAGCTTGCTGTGGTCTCTGCTTTGACATAAAGAAGGCAAACCTCATTTTACACAGAAACACACGTATACACATGCACACATGTGCCGCTGCTACGATGGGACTTTGTAGGAAAAGACTGTATGCATCACATGAAGCAAGGAAGCCTTGTCATTTAAATTAGTCCCCCCAAGCACAAAATTTATTTTGCTTTCTGCCATAATGATGGGACTGTGGAAAAACAATATTACTTTTCTTTCCTGTTAAAATAAATTGTGTTTTATGGGCTGGTAGGAATACTGTATGGCTGTGGTAAAGGATGAATACAACAGAGACAAGTTGAGGTATCAGAATATCTTCTTTTGCAATGAATGCTTGAATATTTATGTTGGAACAGGTACCTGTTTGTGTTATTGAAAATTCCTTGTTCTGCCAATGATCTCTGTGTGACCTCCAGTATAACAATGCCCTGTAATGTCCTGAAACGTAAATTGCCATCAGGATTACCTTGGAAATCCAGCTGAACACAAGAATTCTCTATTTTCCTAGCAGGTGTATTTCTCACCTGTATAATCGTGGCTGTTGCATCTGAATCACTCAGCTCATCTTAGAGTGCTGCAAAACTGATGCTGTGTTGCCAAGGCAACATTTTCAAAGACATGCTAGTTTCTTTGGGGTTTTTGAGCTCATGTGCTAGTCATTACAAATGTATATTAAATTTCACCACAGTCCGTAACTTGAGTGTTTTATGTGCTTCAAACAAAATTACAAGAGCTTTGTCACTGCATTAACATGTGCATAACAACACTGATACAGACATTTCATTCTATGGTTTCCTGTAGGTCAATCAAACAGTGAAAGCACTTAAAAGCAGCAATGTAACTGTAGGTGAAAGGGTACAATCAGCTACTTTTATCAGCGGTAAACAAACCACAGATGCTGAAGAAGGTAAGAACACTAAGCATTGTAATGATTGCATTTTTGTGAAATAGCATACCTGGAGATAAAACACGTGATTAGAATCTAAAGCTTATTGAAAATGGCCTTTGCAGTAAACATGTTCCTTGCACAGAAAAATCCATACATGTTGTGACTGTGCATCTTAACTGTTCTGAGTTGTTTGATATCTTAATCAGGTAAAGTTGTAATTAACACTAGATCTTAGCTGGGGTTCTTTTAGCTTCTCCTTAGCTCAGGAAAGGGGCATATGTTGTCAGTGAAAGATGTGTGGAAATGCTTTGCTGAACTGAGACCATTTTGGACAGTATAGCACGTGCATATAACATGTATGAATATTCACACAATAAGCATAACTATGTGAGAACAGACTTTGTTGTTGTTATTAGCATGCAAATATGCTTTGTAGAGTTCTGCAAAAAGGAAAGGGATCTTAGGAAAAGATAGGATGCGTGCTTCTGGCCCAAATATAATTATTTTATATGACAAACTTATAGAATTACACAAGTATGTGCTTTTTAAGGGCAAAAAATTTAATAATGTGTATATTAAATCTCCTTGGAAGTGACAGTGCTGATACTAAAAAGTCTAAAGTAATCCTGTTTGCTTCTGGTCACCTTTTTCCTGAGGAGGGCAACATCCTGAATGTCTCTGGGATATGAAATTGTCTAGAGGAATCTACCTGAAAATGGACTATGCTAAGAAAATACTATGACATGTTAATGAAAATTAAGACAGGTTTAGAACAAGATGAGCGAAAGCAAGTTATTTCTGATTACTAAGGCATTCAGAAGTCTGCCTGCAATTGAAAAATAAGGAGAAACAAAGCAACTTGCTGACAAAGTGGAAAATGAGTTACCAAGTAATGATATCAAAGGAAACAACATAAATGAGATTTAAGAGGCAGCTAGACAGTTTTATAGAACAGGAATTGTAATATATGGTTTTTGAAAAGAGGCAAAGCTGCAAAACTTATAAGTGCCTTTAACTTTACAGTAGCTTTTTATCCTTTTCCCAACCCTCTCTTTTTAAAGGAGGGGGGAAATGACCTGTTCTGACAGTGACTATCTTGACTGTATTTAAATATTTTGTCTCTGAAATTTGTAATTAAATAGCTAAACATGTATGTACTTGTCTTCTTAAAATGTTTTAGAATTAACAGAGCAGCACTGAGCTGGGGAATACTGGGCATTCAAAATAACTAAGTTTTGGATGCAGTCCCACTGTATGTTGCGAGGTGAATGACAAGAAGTCAAAATGGACCTTACCTAACACTTAATTTTAGTAAGCGTAATTTTCTTGTCTGGTCCTTTCACTACCATGACAGTGCAATTTATTTCTGTTCAGAATTGCTTGCATAGGGGTATTGTCAATACCCTATAAATGTGTGGGTGTCTGTAGTTAGCATCTACAGATGTGGTAGGGCAAAAACCTGGGAGGATATAATGAGTGCTAATGGGGAATGAGGGAAGGTCTGATACTTTGGGCCTGAGTATTTTGTTAGGAAGACAAAGAAGGGAGGTGTGCAAATATCCCTAATGTTTGACAGGAGGTTAATAACAAAGCAAGGCTGGGGTGAGAGAGCAGAGTCCCTGGATGGCAAACTATGATATTTTAAAATTGGTAAAGGAAGTCAATGAAGGTTGCTTCAAGGCAAAAAAGCAAAGACAATGGATTTTATATTTGAATTATAACAGTAGTTGACTTGGCCTCACCATTCAGCAAAGAGTGTGTTGGTGAGAATATTTTTCTTAAGCGATAAATTGGACACAATGAGTGCTGAGGTGAATTTGTCTTGGTTTGGAATCCTTTCTTGTTCTCTCCTGCCCCTAAAGCGGACTTAAGGAGTTGACAAATATTTGATGAATGTAGGCAGTGGAGGCAGAAGTGGTGCAGGTAGGAGATACTGCGTTTGATGCCATTCTAGCTGAAATGCATGTTCTGGTTTCAGTTTATTAATGCTTTCTGCTTCATTGCCAATTTACACTGGGCTTAGCAGATAAAAATAGAAGAAACTATCTCTGACATAGAAGAAATAGTTCTTTACTAGTCTGAGGCCAGTTTGCCACGTGTTTCTGAACTTTCTGAGCACATAGGAGTATGAGCAGCTAGAACTGGTCTATTTTAAATGGAATCCAGAGGTGAGATTTTAGCTCAGGGTCTGGCAAATGCCTCTTATACATGGGTGAAGTTACTCGCAAGCAGCCTTAAAACCAGCAAGTTAAAAAAAAATCCAGCCCATGATCAGTAAATGCTTGTGTAGAATGGGACCAGAAAATGTGATTTACGACTTCATGTTACAAAAGGGTCACTTTTTTTTTCCCCCCTCTTTCAGAAAAACATTTATAGCAGGAGTGCCCTGTACTGAAAACGGCTTCTAGTAGTTCATATTTCCACAGATAATTATCCTGTCTTGCCAGTGATGTTTAGATAGGCCTTGGCATTTTCTGTAAAGTACTGAAATGAAGTACAAGACTTTGAAATAGACTCATTGTCTCATCTAATTGTTTTCAGTTGAAGCCAGAAAATGTACTTTAGTACTGAAGCCCTTGCCAAATAATTGTAAGGTCCAGATGCTTTAAAATTAATGATTGCGTGTTCTGTTGAGTCAGCTTTTTACTTTTGCAGGTTTTTAAAATTTAATTTCTTTGGAAAAATACACGATATCTAGTATACTCGGAAAGTGAACAGCTTTTGTAGAGTACATACAGCAGAGATTAATAACATGTGCTGACAAAGTGAGTGTAGTAAGTCTTTACTTTTTAAATAAACCTACAAGTGTCATATAACATAAACTACTCAACACAGAGAAGCATCACAGTGTATCCATTAGAAGTCTCTTACTATTAGCTCAACCTTATGATTTATGATAGCGCACACACAGCATGGCTAAGAGAGCATGACTATATAATGTGAATTTTCTTTTTCTCCTCCTTTCCATTCCCTGGCCTGTTCCCGAAGACTACGTACGATATGCCCATGGGTTAATATCAGAATATATTCCTGAAGATCTGAGTAAGGAGTTGTCAAAATACTTAGAGTAAGTACTGTTCCAGCTGCTAGTTTTATGTGGCATGCACTAATGAATCTTCTGGTCATTTCTATTGAATATTGAAATTTAATCATCCAGGTTAAAGTGAATGCAGTGAGATTATATTTGCCGCACTTTAAAAGTGGTATTTTCAAATGCGAGTTGTGGATGTATTGTTTCTTTGATGCTAAAAAGCATGGGCGGGAGGAGAGAGGTAATAATATCTAAGTCTGTTATGTCTGTTATCATAGTTTCATCATAAAGCCCAAACAATTTGTCCCCTTTTAAAGGAAAGGAAATGGAAATCCAAAGAGGTAAAGTCGATTGTCCAGAATTGTCAAGCACAAGAAGCGGAGCCAGCAATAGAATCCCCGTCCCCCTGCCCCCCTCTGTCCTTTTCCATTCTCACTCATTCTCTCCCCAGTGCTGCTGGGGATTCAGTTCACATATCTAACCTGTGTTAGTTCATGCTTAAATCTGGAAGGTGAGCCAGGATTCCTCATCCTGGTCTTTGTTCTCTGCCAGCAGATTTTGCCTGGAGCATCAGTTGGGCCCTGTACCTGCCCTTCAGTTCAGTGCTGTTCACTGGGTTGTATTATTCTGGCTTAGGGAATAAAAGTGCAATTCAGAAGTCTTGTAGCATAACAGAGATGCTGTATAATATCGTCTTACTAATAATAGCCAAGGTTATCAGAAGTGATATGAGGTTCTCCTGTTTTGGCTGCTAGACTTAACCTTTAAAAGAGCCCATGTTTTTGTTTGGTGCCTGGCTCTGTTTTAGGTATCTGTCAGGCATACAGTGTCCATGAGCCACTTTTTTGCAAACACGTGCCGTATGTGAGCAGCTGATATCCAAAGCATCCTTTATGGGGAAAGAATTGAGCTTCAGATTGTGTCATTCAAAAGTTTTATTTAGCTGTCTTAAGTTACACTATAATCTTTTGTTCTGCAGACTCCCAGAACTTACAAGCCCAGCACTGGAGCCGCCACTGAAGGTAGGAGGATATGAAGAAGAAGATATTGACACATATATTATGTTGTCAGCTAATTTCTCGGTGTTATTATTAAAACTAGGCTAAGCCAAGCACTGGGTACACTATACAATGAGTAAAGTAAATTGACCTTGTAAAAAGCCAGTCTGAAATAACACAAGAAAGTTACCAGGTACTTTTATATTTCTTATTAAGCAATATTTTGGTTGATTTTCCTATTTAAAAAAAGGGGAGGGGAGGAAAGAGACATACTTTATGTTTTCAATCAGCAGTCTTAGTGGTTTGCTCATTTAGTTTTATTGAGGTTGATGGGACAATATGACCTCATAGGTTTTCTTTCATATGTAATTTATGAGGACCCTGGAAGGGACCTCCTGGGTCATGGATTCCCAGACAACCATGGTGGATAATCTCTCCTACACTGACCGTTCTCCACTGTAAGTCTCATTAGAGTTTTTATTTTCTGTTACTTCTCTGGGAAGGCTGTTCTATAACCTCATTCCTCTGATGCTCAGAAACCTTCCTGTAAATTCCACCTTGAATTTATTCGTGGCCAGTTTATTCCCCTGCGTTTTTATGCCAACTTTATAATTCTTTTTTTAATCAAAATGGCTCTTTTCCCTCCCTAACACTACTTCTCTCAGCGTGTAAGGGGAAAACATATATTCTCCCTGTTTTCATTTTGTGAAGCCAAACTTGATTGGGTAGGATGGGTTTTCTGTTCTCTCGTCATTGCAGGAACATTTCTCTGCACCTGTTCCAAGATGATTCAATTCCTTCAATACAGGTGACCAGAATTAGGCATAATTATTCAGGATAAAATCTTTACCAGTGTAATATGATAGCATTAATCCCTTCTTATCTTAACTGGAAGGATTTTATCTCACTACATCTTAGAATCCCAGTTGCCTCTCTTGTTGTGTGATCACAGAATCACAGAATGGCCAAGGTTGGAAGACACCTCTGGAGGTCATCTAGTCTAACCCCGCTGCTCAGACAGGATCAGCTAGAGCCCATTGCCCAGGATCCTGTCCAGGTGGGTTTTGAATATCTCCAGGGAAGGAGACTCCACAGCCTCTCTGGGCAACCTGTTCCAGTGCTCTGTCTCCCTCACAGGAAAGAAGTTTTTTCTCAGGTTTAGGTGGAACTTCCTGTGTTTCAGTTATGTGCCCGTTGCCTCTTGTGCTGTCACTGGGCACTACAGAGAAGAGTCTGGCCCCATCTTCTTGACATCCTCCCTTCAGATATTTACACACATTGATGAGATCGCCTCTCAGTCTTCTCTTCTCCAGGCTGAACAGGCCCAGCTCTCGCAGCCTTTCTTCATAGGAGAGGTGCTGCAGTCTGCTAATCATCTTTGTAGCCCTCTGCTGGACTCTCTCCAGCCTTTTTTCGTACGAGAGATGCTCCAGTCCCCTAATCATCTTCGTAGTCCTCCGCTGGACTCTTTCCAGTAGTGCCATGTCTCTCTTGTACTGGGGATCCCAGGATTGGACCCAGCACTCCAGATGCTCCCCAGCACTCCCAGGCTGAGTAGAGGGGGAGGATCACCTCCCTCGACCTGCTGGCAACACTCTTCCTAGTGCAGCCCCAGGACACCATTGGTCTTCTTGGCCACAACAGCACATTGCTGACTCATGGTGACCTTGCTGTCCACCAGGACACCCAGGTCCTTCTCTGCAGAGCTGCTTTCCAGCAGGTCAACCCCCAGCCTGTCCTGGTGCATGGGGTTCTTCCTCCCTAGCCTTTGTTGAACTTCAGGAGGTTCCTCTCCGCCCAGCTCTCCAGCCTGTCCAGGTCCCTCTGAATGGCAGCACAGCCTTCTGGTGCGTCCGCCA